TCAGCTTCAAAAATTGAGCATAAAATGAGCTTTAGCATTAATAAAACTTATATTTCTAAATAAAATAGAGAATAATATTAGTGATAAGAATATGAAAATTATTCCAAGTGTTTTAGTACCATTAAAACAAAATATCCCCAAGTAGAAATATGCTTTCAGAAACACTATCCAAAATAACTTCAATAATTAAAAAAAAGTTGTACTGGGAGGTGGTGGTGCACACCTTTAATCCCAGCACTAGGGAGGCAGAGGTAGGTGGATCTCTGTGAGTTTGAGGCAGGACAGCCAGAGCTGTTACACAGATAGACATTAACTAACTAGCTAAGCAAATAAAGTAAATAAAAATAAAAAAGAATTGCAGTGGCAAAGGGGTATTTTTTTCCTGACATTAAGAAAATGACACTGGAGAAAAAATCTACAAACAAATGCTTAAGTGGTTTCCACCTACATAAGTGGTTTGGACTGTAATTCTAGATGTTTCTTTGATATGCAAATTAATATTTTCAGTTTTATTGTATAACACTAATGAAATGTTAAGACCAATTTTTCCCACATAAAAAGAGAACACATACTTTTATAGGCACTAGGTAAATGTCTTCAGTTAATTTTTTTGTGTTGTTAAATATTTTAGTTTTTCTTTCTCTGTGTGTATGTTCATGGCTACTTTGACATGGGGAGGTCTGTGCGTGGGGTTTCTGCTTGGGTCTTTGTTAAGTATACAGAGCTGGATGAACAGATTTTGATAAAAACAGGAATATGACTTGCATATGATTGATGGATTGAAAATTGTAGATGGAAGTTTCTGTCCCACCTGGTCCTGCAGCTGTTCAGTTACAATTAAACACACAGAGGCTTAGATTAATTGTAAACTGTTTGGCCTATTGCTCAGGCTTAATTCTAACAAACTCTTACAACTTAAATTAACCTCTGGCTCCCAAGTGCTTCATTTTTATTTTTAATGGGGTATGTGAGTGTGTGTGTGTAGGTATGTATGAGCACTAGGAAGGCAGAGGCAGGCAGATCTCTGTGAGTTTGAAGCCAGCCTGGTCTACAGAGTGAGTTCCAGGATAGGCTCTGAAGCAATACAGAAAAACCCTGTCTTGAAAAAAAAAAAAAAAAGAATCTTAAAGAGGAGACGTTAACTGCTGGGGCTGACACTTACCAGGGTTGTGACTTTCTTCTCCCTGATATAATTCTCGATGGCTTCATTGTTTGGAGCAAAGACAGTATAAGTGTCTGCAGCCTCAATTGCATTTGCCAGATTGTATTGCTGCAAAGCAAAGAAAGGACAGCCCGTGAGGGATTCTAGTCCCCAAGAAGAACAAGACATTTATGCAGAAAACATGGTACTTGCAATGATATAGCCTCGGAAGACGGAATAGTCAGGCATTTGGTCCAAACGGGTGAGTAGGTTTGGTAAGGAGCCAGTTAGACTTCTCTGGGGGATCAGCACCTGGGAAAAGAAGCCCCAAAATTCTACTTAGCAAATTTTGGTATCATTTTCTGTTCACTAGTAATTATGGAAGTCCTCTTGTGTTCTTTTGGCAGGCAACAGAATTGACTAAAAACATTTTGATAATTCACAAAATAAGTTATTCCAGAATGCAAAGTGACTATGCTGGAAGGAACTTGGAAATGTTAGTTCAATTTTAACTCTGCTCTTAAATTTACTCTCCATTTGGAGAAAAATTCCTCTTGTACAAAAGACTTTGTAGATCTCCCCAAGGAATCCCTTCTAACTTTCATTAATTTATCCTGTTAATTCTTCACTTCTTATCCTGGGAACCTTAAGTCTACTATAAGTCAGTAAACTGGATTTGCCTTATAAAAATATTTGGCTTGATAAGAATAAGAAGATACGACAATTTCACATAAATTATTAGGTTTCTGGCTGTGTGCCTGTGATCTAGGCTTGGAGCTCAAGGCGTTGTGCAGACAGGGCAAACAAGCTATTGCTGAGACATGCCCCCAGGTATTTGATCCCCTCCTCTTTTTTATGACCATCTTTGAAACCGGATCTTGCCATGCAGTCCAGGCTTCAAACTTTCTGTGGTCCTCCTGATTTAGCTTCCCAAATGATGGGATTACAGGCATATGTCACCACAACTAGTCTGACGTCCTTTAGTGTCAACCACCATAAACTGTATCTGTTGTGAAGAGCAGCAACCGTGGGTATATGCTGCCGCTCCTCCCCACCTCCCAGCCAGGCCCTAGGCGTTCATGCGGTCATCTGTCTGGTCCACATGCAATTGACAAGCCTGCGTGGCCAACCCTCTGGCCAAACTAACTAGTGCAATCTTCTCATTCTAGAACCTTGACAAAGGGTTAGGGTTAGGGTTAGGGTTAGGGTTAGGGTCAACGCCGCCGTGACATTTTCTTTCTTCCTTCATGCAGTCTTGGACTGCATTTATGGGGTACTGGGTATGACTCAGGCTGGGAAGACGTGAATCTGAGGTCTAGGCCTTGCCCTTGAAGAGCTAAGATGACAACAGAGACAGCAGGCGCCAGCGGAAACTAAGTCTCGAGGCTAATACCATCTGTAGTGGCAAGAGAGGCTGAGAGCGGAAGGGGAGGAGCGAGGCCCAGGCGGACCCTCAGGCCCTCGTCATGCCATTGGCTGTCTGGTGCCAGTATGCAAATGTGAAACGTCACTTCCTCAGGTATTAGGAGCCATTTTCTCGTGTCCGTGCAAGAGGACAGACGTGTCCTGGCAGGGAGCGGAGGAGGAGCCGGCTGAGGAGGGGCTCGTGGGCCTCAGGTTGTCAGTGAGGCCTGGGGCCTTCGGACGCGAGGCCAGCGTGTGACGGGGAAGGACGCGAGGCCAGCGTGTGACGGGGAAGGACGCAAGGCCAGTGTGTGACGGGGAAGGACGCGAGGCCAGCGTGTGACCACCGGGAAGGACGCGAGGCCAGCGTGTGACCACCGGGAAGGACGCGAGGCCAGCGTGTGACCACCGGGAAGGACAAGAGGTTAGTGTATGGCGTGAGGTCAGCGTGTGACGGGGAAGGACGCGAGGTCAGTGTGTGACGGGAAGGAGGTGAAGTCAGCGTGTGACGGGGAAGGACGTGAGGCTTCGGGGGGACTTCGGGCGCGAGGCCGCGAGGCCCGTATGACGGGGAAAGGGTGTGAGGTTAGCGACGTGAGGTCAGTGTGTGACGGGGGAAAGGACACGAGGTCAGCGTGTGACGGGGAAGGATGTGAGATCAGCGTGTGACGGGGAAGGACGTGAGGCCTTGGGGGGCTTCGGGCGCGGGGCCGCGAGGCCCGTGTGACCCGGAAAGGGCGTGAGGTTAGCGACGCAAGGTCAGCGTGTGATGCGGAAATGACGTGAGGTCAGCGTGTGACTTGAGGTTAGCGTGTGACGGGGAAAGGACGTGAGTTCAGCGTGTGACGTGAGGTTAGCGTGTGACGGGGAAAGGACGTGAGATCAGTGTGTAAGGGGAAGATGTGAGGTCAGCGTGTGACGTGAGGTCTGCATGTGACGGGGAAAGGACGCGAGGTCAGCGTGTGATGTGAGGTCAGCATGGGACGTGCGGTCAGCGTGTGACGAGGAAGCACGCGAGGTCAGCGTGTGACGTGGGATTGGCGTGTGACTGGCAAGGACGTGAGGTCGGTGTGTGACGTGAATCACGCGAGGTCAGCATGTGACGGGGCAGGACGTGAGGTCAGTGTGTGACGTGAGGTCAGCGTGTTAAGCGGGGAAATCCACGAGGGCGTGTTACGGGGAAGGACGTGAGGTCAGCGTGTGACGAAGCACGCAAGGTCAGCGTGTGATGGGGAAAGGATGTGAGGCCAGCGTGTGACGTGAGGTCAGCGTGTGACGAGGAAGGACACGAGGTCAGTGTGTGGTGGGGAAGGATGTGAGGTCGGCGTGTGACTGGGAAAGCCGCGAGGTCGGCGTGTGATGGGGAAAGGACGTGAGGTCAGCGTGTGACGAAGCACGCAAGGTCAGTGTGTGATGGGGAAAGGACGTGAGGTCAGCATGTGACGAAGCACGCAAGGTCAGCGTGTGATGGGAAAGGATGCGAGGTCAGCGTGTGACGGGGAAGGACGTGAGGTCGGCGTGTGACGAAGCACGCAAGGTCAGCGTGTGATGGGGAAAGGACGCGAGGTCGGCGTGTGACGAGGAAGCATGCGAGGTCTGTGTTACGGGGAAGGACATGAGGTCAGCGTGTGACGTGAGGTCAGCGTGTGACGTGAGGTCAGCGTGTGATGTGAGGTCAGCGTGTGACGAGGAAGCACGCGAGGTCTGCGTGTGACTGGGAAGGACGTGAGGTCGGCGTGTGACAAGGAAGGACGTGAGGTCAGTGTGTGACGAAGCACGCGAGGTCTGTGTGACGGGGAAGGACATGAGGTCAGCGTGTGACGTGAGGTCAGCGTGTGACGTGAGGTCAGCGTGTGACGTGAGGTCAGCGTCTGACGAGGAAGCACGCGAGGTCAGTGTGTGATGGGGAAGGATGCAAGGTCAGCGTGTGACAAGGAAGGACGTGAGGTCAGTGTGTGACCACCGTGAAGGACGCAAGGTCAGCGTGTGACGGGGAAGGACGTGAGGTCAGCCACGTAAGGTCCGTGTGTGACCGGAAGGACGTGAGGTCGGCGTGTGACAGGGAAGGACTTGAGGCCTTGGGGGGCTTCGGGCGCGAGGCCGGTGTGACGGGGAAAGGGCTTGAGGTTAGCGACGTGAGGTCAGTGTATGACGGGGAAGGACGCGAGGTCGGCATGTGACCGGGAAGGACGTGAGGTTGTGAAGTCGGCTTTGTGACAGAGAAAGGATGTGAGGCCAGCGTGTGATGGGGAAGGGTGTGAGGAAAGGACGTGAGGTCAGTGTGACAGAGAAGGATGTGAGGTTGGCATGTGACTGCAGACCGGGGAAGGCAGGGTGTGAGGTCATGGTTGGGGAGGCAATAGGAGGAGGGTACAGGCCGGGTCCCCACGGCAGAAGTGAAGTTTTGGTGGCACTGAGGCAGAGGCTCCCTTATTGCAGGGCAGAATATTTCAAAATGTTTCAAGTTCCGGTGGAAAATCTGGACTACATCAGAACTTTGCGGCCATGGGTGAAGAGCATTCTTCTGAAGGTTGGACTTGACAGCTCTAAAGAATTGTTGGAGGACCTTAAAGGCTTTGGCCCAGGAGACAGATACTTTTATAATACATCTTGGCCAGATGTTGCTCCAAGGGAACTTGTCAGAAAGAAAATAAGATACCGATCCAAGCCATACTGCTGCAGTCTTTGCCAATATTCAGCAGATGTGCTTGCTTCTTTCAAAAATCACTTGCATCGTTGCCATGAAGATGAGGCAGACCAAGAGCTGCAGATCCAGTGTCCAGATTGCTCATTTGCTTCAAGGCCTGATGTGGTGAGCAGGCACTTCTCTTTATTCCATGAGTCAGCTGGGAAAGTTGACAGCCCCAAGGAGAAAGTTCTGGGCAATGGGAAGTCACTGAAGGGTTACATAAAACATTTCACATGTTTAAAATGTAACTTTTCCAATACTTCCTTCTATAGCATGAAGAAGCATGTGCTGATCACTCATTTTCAGTCCTTACTTAATGCCTACTTTGGCTTTCAAACTAAGGAAGAACAGCAGCAACTGAAAGCCAGCGATACTCTTTCTGTGGCAAATATTCTACCACCTGAAAAATACTATTGTAAAAAGTGTAGTACCAATATGTGCAGCCCGGATGATCTGATGTCCCATATTTTGACATCAGATGTGCACAAGGATTTGGAGAATAAGTTGAGATCTGTGATTTCAGAACATAACAAGAGGATTGGGCTTCCGAAGCAAATGCCCATTGCTCCAAAGCCACAGGCATGCTTGTCCAGGCCACCAAATAGCAGTGCTCCACACACAATTGCTCCAGAAAAGCCACTTTGGTCCCATCTTGCCTTGTCACAGAACACTCCAAGTCCAGCTATGGTACAGCCAATGACCTTGGCCCAATCTGTGACTTCTGCCCATGTACAGCCTCCGGTGGGGACCCCATGCACTTCCTGGAGTCTCACTCATTCTCTGTCTGCTGCTGTCCAGTCCCACGTGGCTTTTGTCTCCAGCCCTCTATCAGTGGGCCAGACCAGCCTCACGCTGCAGCCTTCGACTCCCTCGTCTGTTCTTTACTCAGGCAGGGCTTCACCTAATAAGCCTATAGATCCTCCTGCATTACCTGTGAATCGGCCACTCGGGCCTGTGAATAAGTCTGTTGGAATGAGTAATCTCCCAACGGGTCAAGCCATCCAACCTGGGATTTTACCTCTGACACAGCCCATGAGGTCTACACGTCGACCAGCAGGACCTCCAGTCAGATCAGTGAGGCCTAAGAGCAGACTGCTCAGGCCTGGCACCCTGTCTTCTGGTCTTTCTGTCTCTCCTGGGGTTCTTCAGACACCATCACCAGGAACAATTTCTGTGGGTCAGGTGGTCTCATTGGCAGTCCTTTCTGAAGGTCAGATGACCCCTGCTTCTGTGATTCCCGCGCAGACAGCAGCTTCTGGGATCCTTCCCACTGGTCAAGCAGTCGAGTCCAGGGTTCTCCATGTAGGCCAGACAGTCTCATCACAGGTTCTTCCCTCTTGTCAGACAGTGTCCTTTAGGGTTCTCTCTGCAGATCAAGTGGTATCATGTGGGTTGCTGTCCCCCAAACAGGTGGTGATCTCAGATGTCTCTGTGAACCAGGGTGTGAGCTCTTGTGTTCCTCTCCTTGGTCAGCCTGTTACATCAGGAGTCCTTCCTGCAGGTTCACCAGTTAGATCCAGTGTGCTTGAGCTCCATCAGTCTATTAGCACCAGCATCCTGCCAGTGAACCAGTCAGTGAGAGCTGAAACGTCACAGAACACCATGCTCCTCAAGTCAGGCCCTGTTTTCAGAAAGCTCCTTCCAACAGGGACACAGGTTAATGGGAGACCCATTTACATGCTAGATCCAGTGCCTGTCACTCTGCCTATTCAGAGTGCTAGCCTCACGACTGTCACTCCATCCCAGGTGCCCAACCAATTCATGTCCCCCAGTGTAGGTCCACAGATGTCCAGTGCTCTACCCAGCTTGTCCTTCTCACAGGGACTGGTAAACACTGCAGACCAGAACATACTTGTTCAGGTCTCTTCATCTGATGTGGATATGAATATGGTTGTCAGACAAGCCAAGCAGTGGAAAATCTGCCCAGTTTGCAAAGTATTCTTCCCATCCAATGTCTACCAGGCTCACATGGAAGTGGCTCACAAACAAAGTGAGTCCAACTCCAGTGAGAAACTTGAACCAGTAAAGCTGGCAGCGTATGCCCCATTTCTGGAGTGGACAAGTGAGAAGGCAATGAATTGCCTCTCCTGCAAATGCCTAGTCTCAGAGAAGGAGCTAATGTACCACTTACTCACACATGGCTTGGGGTGTGTGTTTTGCCCATGCACTTTTCACAACATACAGGGTCTCTTGGAACATACCAGAATTAAACATTGTGAGAGGAAGAAGCTGTCTTTGGATTACAGTAACAGGGGCTTCCAGTTGAGCCTGGATGCTAATGGTGACCTGTTGTTCCCCTATCTTGATTTCATCATCACTCTGCCGAGAGAGAAGATTGGAGAACAGGAAGTCTGTCTGGCTATCCTCTCAGAGATGTGCTCCACATCACTGGTGCCATTGTATGTTAAGGTGAGGCCACAGGTTAAGGTTGTACCTAAGCTTCTCAGTGAACAAGAGCTGACCTGTCCCCTCTGTTTGAGCACATTCATGATATCCGATGCATACATGTTACATTTGAAGGACAGACACCATATTATGCCAATGGCTTATACAGTGCTCAGGTCTCCTGCCTTCAGATGTGTCCATTGTTGTGGGGTCTACCCTGGATGTTTGACTGTGGCAGCCATCACTCTTCATTTACTGCATTGTGAACATGCTCCCAAAGAGAACAGTTCAGATGTGCAAGTTGGGCCCAGTTTTGTTGAGAGCAGTGAACTGCAGTTTGTCAATGGGAAAAGGATTACTGATCCTACCCATCCTGTAAAGAGAAAGTGGCAAGATGGGACAGAAGACCAGAAGAGGGATGAGAAAGTTCCCTTGTTTGTACTAAAGGGTGATGCAGCATCAGGTCCGGAGGAAGGGACTAGTGTTATGCCTTTGAAGAGACAAAAGAATGAAAGTACAACTAATGGACTGGTGGCCAGTGATGATTTACTCCAGATCCTAGCATTAGATCCCCAAAAATACAAAGACTACTCCTATGAGAAAAAAAAGCAGTTTCTTAGAGAGTATTTCCATAAGAAACCATATCCTAGCAGAAAAGAAGTAGAACTGTTATCTTTATACTTGAAGATGGAAAGAATTAATGTGGCTTTGTTTTTTGGAACAAGAAGATATATTTGTTTGAAAGCAATAGAAGTTCACAGACCTTCAGTTCTTCTAGGCTTTGATATGTCTGAACTTAAAAATGTTAAACATAGACTGAACTTTTAGTGTGAACCACAAAACTCAGCTTAAAGTCCTAGGCAGTAGTTTGAGCTGACATTGGTACCTTCCTTTACTCTGTCTTGTTAGTTCTCTTGTTAGTTTCTGTGACTTTTCTGGATGCTGCAGGTGCTCAGGAAGACTTAGTTTAAGAAGCAAATGCTACTCCAGATTTACCCATTCCTGTCGTTCA